GTGATGATGTGGGTTGCAATCAACTGACCTTGGTCGCAGTATAATCATATACTAAATGACCTAATTAGAGCATGCTAGAAATGTTAAAGTTCCTATTCACATTCTTTGTTCCAAATCGTCGAGCTAACACAGAGTTCCAGATGGGCTGAGTACTACCCATCAGATGGTACAAAATAGGATAAGATTCCCGTCTGGTTACTGCCCCGCTCTCCGCCTCCAACGAAAACACTGTCTTCCCGATAATTTGTAGGTTATCAGTTATACTGACAGTCGAAGGTGTGTAGTTTGGGTTAAAATAAATCCTAATACTTAACTTTCGAGATCAAAACTTTATATACACAAACAAGTATTTTACTACGCGTTATCAAGGTTACAATCTTCATAATGGAGCACCTTCGTGAAGCCAGAAACTGGAAACCCTGAAGAACATCTCATATATCCAGTGAATCTTTCTCCCATACGTATTTTTTCTCTGACAACTTCCACTTGGTCTATTCTCTCACGTATTTTCTTCGTGACGAATTTTCGGATCAATATTTATACTTTTAGTGCAATATTAATTTACTAAATAAATTTCTGCATTATCCTCTGATAATAATAAGAAAGAGAAGTCTATGAAAACAAGAGAATACAAAATTACGTGATACAGAAAGTACAAAGAGTTCTCTGATAACGACTTGGTAGAGAGATCTAAGATAATGAGAGGTTAGAGAGTTCTCTGATAAAGAGAGGGTAGAGAGTTCTGTGATAACGAGATGGTACAGAGTTCTAGGCCAACAATAAGGTGGAGTTCTCTGATAATGAGAGAACTGAGAGTTCTAGGATAATAAAAGTGTAGAGAGTTCCGTGTTAAAAAGAGATTAGAGAACTCTCTGATAACGAGAGGGTAGAGCATTCTGTGATAACGTGAAGGAAGAGAGTTCTGTGATAACCAGAGGAGAAAGTTCTGATGTAATGATAATATATGTGCAGACTTTTGTAATAACAAGAGAGTGGGGAGTTACCTTATATATATATATATATATATATATATATATATATATATATATATATATATATATATATATATATATATATATATATATATTTAAGTTTGGGTGAGATATAAGCAGCTATTGGCAGAAAGGTGGGCTGGTGCAAGTATGAGTAGTGGGGGGAGGGGGTTGAAGAGGGTTGGAATAGTTTTAAAAATGCAGTATTAGAATGTGGGGCAGAAGTTTGTGGTTATAGGAGGGTGGGAGCAGGAGGAAAGAGGAGTGATTGGTGGAATGATGAAGTAAAGTGTGTGATAAAAGAGACAGGTAGCTTATGAGAGGTTTTTACAAAGCAGAAATGTTATAAGAAGAGTAGAGTATATGGAGAGTAAAAGAAAGGTGAAGAGAGTTGTAAGAGAGTGCAAAAGGAGAGCAGATGATAGAGTGGGAGAAGCACTGTTAAGAAATTTTAATGAAAATAAGAAAAAAATTTGGAGGGGCTTAAACAAGTTAAGAAAGCCTGGGGAACAAATGGATTTGTCAGTTAAAAACAGAGTAGGGGAGTTAGTAGATGGGGAGATGGAAGTATTGGGTAGATGGCGAGAATACTTTGAGGAACTTTTAAATGTCGACGAAGAAAGGGAGGCGGTAATTTCATACACTGGCCAGGGAGGTGTGTGAGGCATTACGTAGAATGAAAGGGGGTAAAGCAGCCGGAACTGACAGGATCATGACAGAAATGTTAAAAGCAGGGGGGGATATAGTGTTGGAGTGATTGGTATTTTTGTTTAATAAATGTATGAAAGAGGGGATTGGCTAGAGAGCATGTATAGTCCCTTTATATAAAGGGAAGGGGGACAAAAGAGATTGTAAAAATTTTAGAGGAATTAGTTTACTGAGTATATAAGGAAAAGTGTATGGTAGGGTTATTATTGAAAGAATTAGAGGTAAGACAGAATATAGGATTACGGATGAGCAAGGAAGTTATAGAGTTGGTAGGGGTTGTGTAGATCAAGTGTTTACATTGAAGCATATATGTGAACAGTATTCAGATAAAGGTAGGGAAGTTTTCATTGCATTTATGGATTTAGAAAAGGCATATGATAGAGTGGATAGAGGAGCAATGTGGCAGATGTTGCAAGTATATGGAATAGGTGGTAAGTTACTAAATGCTGTACAGACCTTTTATGAGGATAGTGAGGCTCAGGTTAGGATGTGTAGAAGAGAGGGAGAATACTTCCCGGTAAAAGTACATCTTAGACAGGGATATGTAATGTCACCATGGTTGTTTAATATATTTATAGATGGGGTTGTAAAAGAAGTAAATGCTAGGGTGTTCAGGAGAGGGGTGGGATTAAATTATGGGGAATCAAATACAAAATGGGAAGTGACACAGTTACTTTTTGCTGATGATACTGTGCTTATGGGAGATTCTAAAGAAAAACTGCAAAGGTGAGTAAATGAGTCTGGGAGTGTGTGTAAAGGTAGAAAGTTGAAAGTGAACATAGAAAAGAGTAAGGTGATGAGAGTATCAAATGATTTAGATAAAGAAAAATTGGATATAAAATTGGAGAGGAGTATGGAAGAAGTGAATGTTTTCAGATATTTGGGAGTTGACGTATCAGTGGATGGATTTATGAAGAATGAGGTGAATCATAGAACTGATGAGGGATAAAAGGTGAGTGGTGCGTTGAGGTATATGTGGACACAAAGAACGTTATCTATGGAGGCAAATAAGGGAATGTATGAAAGTATAGTGGTACCAACACTCTTATATGGGTGTGAAGCTTGGGTGGTAAATGCAGCAGCAAGGAGGCGGTTGGAGGCAGTGGAGTTGTCCTGTGTAAGGGCAATGTGTGGTGTGAATATTATGCAGAAAATTCGGAGTGTGGAAATTAGGAGAAGGTGTGGAGTTAATAAAAGTATTAGTCAGAGGGCAGAAGAGGGGATGTTGAGGTGGTTTGGTCATTTAGAGAGAATGAATCAAAGTAGAATGACATGGAGAGCATATAAATCTGTAGGGGGAGGAAGGTGTGGTAGGGGTCGTCCTCGAAAGGGTTGGAGGAAGAGGGTATAGGTGGTTTTGTGAGCGAGGGGCTTGGACTTCCAGCAGCGTGCATGAGCGTGTTAGATAGGAGTGAATGGAGACGAATGGTTTTTGGGACCTGACGAGCTGTTGGAGTGTGAGCAGGGTAATATTTAGTGAAGGGATTCAGGGAAACCGGTTATTTTATGTAGCCGGACTTGAGTCCTGGAAATGGGAAGTACAATGCCTGCACTTTAAAGGAGGGGCTCGGGATATTGGCAGTTTGGAGGGATATGTTGTGTATCTTTATACGTATATACTTCTAAACTGTTGTATTCTGAGCACCTCTGTAAAAACAGTGATTATGTGTGAGCGAGGTGAAAGTGTTGAATGATGATGAAAGTACTTTCTTTTTGGGGATTTTCTTTCTTTTTGGATCACCCTGCCTCGGTGGGAGACGACCGACTTCTTAATATATAAATATATATATATATATATATATATATATATATATATATATATATATATATATATATATATATATATATATATATATATATATATATATAATATATGTATATATATATATATATATATATATAATATGTATATATATATATAATATGTATATATATATATATTATATATATATATATATATATATTATATATATATATATATATATATATATATATATATATATATAATGTGTGTGTGTGTGTCTGTCTGCCTGTCTGTCTATGTTCAGATGACCACATGATTACGTTCTACGTCAGTTGATTATGACAATTCAGCTAACGTTCTATGACATATTTATTAACAGCATAACCAACAGCTGTGCTCCCTCCTGGCTCGCCTGACCATATATCAAGTCATGCGAGGCTTGCAGCGTGTAGTGGGTTATAACTCACAGTGATAGCTGACCCATTTATTGGAGCGTCCATAACGTAATTGATTTGTTTCCCCTGGAGGAATTATTGTTATAGTCACATACAAAGCTAAAGCTTTGTGGGTCACTCAGCTCACAGTATTTTATATCTCGTCATCATGTGCCCCCTCTCCCTCCTGTCCTCCAGTCAGGTCGAGTTTCCTTAACCTCTTCTCGTAGGACATGCCCCTATATTGAATATTACAGCAATAGAAACAAACCAGCCCTCAAGAACTGATATTATAATAGTAGCCTAACGAACCTGACATTACAATTATCAAAAGTGCAGTCAGATTACGTTGTGATATAAATAACTTTGGCACCAGGACACGGTGCACCGTGGCCTGGTGGGTAAACTCGAGCTTCACACTTCACACGGTGATGGTCCGATTCCCGGCGAAGGGTGGAAACATTGGACGTGTTTCCTTACACCAGCTGTCTATGTTCACCTATCAGTAAAATGGGTACCTGGGTGTTAGTCGACTGGTGTGGGTCGCATCCTGGGACAAATCTGACATAATTTGCCCGAAATGCTCTGCATAACAAGCGGATTTCTATATAGCAGTATGTCATTGATGTCAGCTATGGTCTGTATACCTTGTAAATGTACTTGTAGTAAATAAAGATATTATTATTATTATTATTATTATTATTATTATTGTTATTATTATTATTATTATTATTATTATTCCTTTCAACAAGTCAGTCGTCTCCCACCGAGGCAGGGTGACCCAAAGAGAAAGAAAATCCCCAAAAAGGAAAATACTTTCATCATTCAACATTTTCACCATCACTCATACATAATCACTGTCTTTGCAGAGGCGCTCAAATACGACAGATCAGAAAAGAAAAATTGATCTGGGTATATCAGTTATACAAAACAAGAATAATTATGGAGGATAATAATAATGCACCAAAAATATCTGACCAGTAACATTGCACACGAAAGACCCAGAACTATTATTCAACCCCCCCCCCCCTGTGGTAGTTTTGCTTATTTGGCTTGTTCGCGATATTTGCATATATGTATATAATTATATGTAATTAACACAATTATCTATTTCTTCCCCAGCTAACCCCAGTATAGGCCCCACCGTGAAGATGTTGGGGCGGGGACTCCACGAAGCCTCAGTCATTTTACGTTCTGAAGTGGGTCCTTTCCATGAAGGAGAGATGCTCAACTTATCGTGCACCGTAATTGGTGGTAAGTACCACTTTACTGATTTCCAAAAACACCATGTCCATCCCTCTTTCCCAGGATGCCAGGCACAAGTGCCAACTAACAACCTGGTGCCTTTATCGTTTTATGTAAATAAGATGCAAGGAGATTTGCTTATATGTCTCTTCCCATTCTTGACGCTACACATGGCAGTAGTCTAATAACTCAGTTCCAGTTGAATGCAAGGTGAATAGGGTTGGAGTAATTTGCACATTCATTTCGGTCTATTCGGGATGCTGCCCACAATAGCTTGCTAGGACACAAGTACCTGTTACAAATAGATGAAGAGTGGCAGTAAGTATAACGAAGTAACAGGTGATGTAAAATAACGAAGTGAATAAAAAATCTTACAAGCAGTGTGGAAACATCGCTAAGAGATTCCATTTCACATGGACATTGAATTTTATCACATAGACAATACTTGGAAAACATAAGGAATATAATGCAGAACTGCAGGTGAATAGAGAAGATGAAGGTAAGGTTACCCGTTTAAGTCAGCTTACAAAGTTACCTGCCCTATTCAGTGTAATGGTGAGAGGAGTGTTAATTTATGCTTATTTCAAGCATCATAGTTTGTTACTGTCTTAGCTTCATTCCATTTCATTAGGCGGAGAACAGCGTTACAGTGACTGACACGCTATGTTGAGTTATTAGTCAAAATGACAAGTTTATGTTCTCCAGTTCTCAAGTCCCTGGCTGTTTCACCAACATAAATTCGCAGCCGCCGTAGAGAATAGTGCAAAGCCGGTTTTCCTCTTTTTCTTGAAGGATCCGCCATAGTGAACTCAAGCGATGCCTCTGACAGAGGAAGATTTGATGGTAACTATAGTGAGATGACCCTGGAACGAACCAATATTACCAGGAACAGTGGGAAAGATGAGGAAATTTATGCTTATAATCACTGTCATTAAAGTGCTAATAAGTGCCAGCTGTCATAAATGCAATCTGCAGTCGTGTATGAAATAATTAGAAAATGTATGGCAAGTATAATATGAAATGAGTTTTGGTTATAGAGTTACAGCAGTATATTCTTCATTACTGGTCTTCCGTTTCCACTCTTACATGATTAATATTCAGGAATCAGTGTTATTAACAAATATTAGTCTTATAACAGTCTGGAAATAAGAACATAAGAACATAAGAAAGAAGGAATACTGCAACAGGACTACTGACCCATCCGGAGCAGGTCCTTATCCCCCCCCCTGGATTAGACCAATGACCCACCCAGTCTGGTCACCTCCACTCAAGGAAGGAGCACGGCACCAGACCCAGCAGCACAAGCTAATCAGGTCCAACTCACTTCCACCCACACCCACTCATGTATTTATCTAACCTATTTTTAAAACTACACAGCGTTTTAGCCTCTATAACTGTACTCGGGAGTTTGTTCCACTCATCCACAACTCTATTACCAAACCAGTGCTTTCCTATATCCTTCCTGAATCTGAATTTTTCCAACTTGAAACCATTGCTGCGAGTCCTGTCTTGGCTGGAAATTTTCAGCACGTTATTTACATCCCCTTTATTTGTTCCTGTTTTCCATTTATACACCTCGATCATATCCACCCTAATTCTACATCTTTCGAGAGAGTGCAGATTCAGGGCCCTCAGTCTATCCTCATAGGGAAGATTTCTGATACATGGGATCAACTTTGTCATCCTCCTCTGTACGTTTTCCAGAGCATTTATATCCATTCTGTAATACGGTGACCAGAACTGAGCAGCATAGTCTAAATGAAGCCTAACCAAGGATATATAGAGTTGAACAACCTGAGGACTTCTATTATTTATTCTTCTAAATATGAAGCCAAGAATTCTGTTAGCTTTATTGTGAACACTAATGCACTGTTGTCTTGGTTTTAGATTACTGCTAACCATAACTCCTAAATCCTTTTTGCAATCAGTAGTATTAAGATCTACATTATTTAGTTTATATGTGTCATGGTTATTTAACTGTCCAACATTTAGAACTTTGCATTTGTCAGTATTAAACTGCATCTGCCACTTCTCCGACCATTGCATCAGTCTATTCAAATCATCCTGGAGTGCTCTAGTGTCCTCATTAGAATGAATTGGATGGCCTATTTTAGTGTCATCAGCAAATTTGCTTATGTCGCTATTTATTCCCTCATCTATGTCGTTTATGTAAATTGTGAACAACAACGGGTCCAACACTGACCCCTGAGGAACACCGCTTGTGACGTGCCCCCCTTCTGATTTCTCCCTATTTATGCAAACTCTCTGCTGTCTGTTTGTCAGCCATGCCTCTACCCAGGAAAAAATTTCTCCTCCTATTCCGTGTGCCTTAAGTTTCCTCAATAGCTTCTGGTGAGGAACTCTGTCGAAAGCCTTACTGAAGTCCATATACACAATATCATATTCATTACCATGATCTACCTCCTCAAACACCTTAGTGAAAAAAGTTAGTAAATTCGTAAGACAGGAACGCCCCTTTGTAAACCCGCGTTGAGATTCATTAATCAATCTGTGCCTGTCAAGATGGCTACGAATTGCTTCGGCAATTATTGATTCCATAAATTTTCCCACTATGGAGGTAAGGCTTATTGGTCTATAGTTCGAAGCCAAGGACCTGTCACCTGCCTTGTAAATAGGTATTACATTTGCCATTTTCCACTTATCAGGCACTATGCCAGTTTGTGTGACATGTTAAAAAGATTAGCCAAAGGTATGCTAAATTCCTCTTTAACATCCTTGCAAACAGTTCATCAGGGCCTGGGGATTTGTTAGGTTTTAGTTTCTCTATTTGTCTGAGGACCATGTCACTAGTTACCGCAATTGTACATAGTTTATTATCATCTTGTTCTACACAATCTATTATTTCAGGAATATCTCTAGTATTTTCCTGGGTGAAAACTGAGAGGAAGTAGGTATTGAGAATTTCACACATATCATTATTACTGTCAGTGATCGGAGCAGAGTTACTCTTAAGTGGGCCAATCTTGTCCCTAATCTTACTTCTGTATACCTGAAAGAACCCTTTTGGGTTAGTCTTTAAATCCCTTGCGACCTTAGCCTCATAATCCCTTTTTGCTTTTCTTATTCCTTTCTTTATTTCTCTCTTTAATTGAATATATTGATTTCTTAACTGCCCATCCCCTCTTTTGATACGCCTATATATGCCTCTCTTTTGACCAATGAGATGTTTTAATCTTTTGTTCATCCATTTGGGATCATTTTTGTTAGATCTAATTTCCCTACTCGGAACAAAAGTTGTCTGGGCAGCTAGAACTATGCTCTGAAAAACGTAATATTGGCAACCAAGATCACCTACCTGACCCATAGTCAGGACATCCCAATTTAGCCCACCCAGGTAATTTTTCAGTCCCATGAAGTCGGCCAAGCGAAAATCTGGGACAGAGATTTGATTACAGTTATCTGGATAATTCCATAATATATTGAAACTAAGTGATTTGTGATCACTTTCCCCAAGCTCATCATTAACCTCAAGATTATTAATTAGTGAATCTTTGTTGGCAAGAACCAAGTCAAGCAGATTGTTTCCTCTAGTTGGTTCTGTCACAACCTGTTCTAAAAAGCAATCCTGAACCGTATCAAGAAAGTCACTAGACTCAAGATTTCCTGTCATATTGTTCCAATCAATTTGTCTAAAGTTAAAATCTCCCATTATCACAACATTTTCATATCTAGATGCTTTATGAATTTCGTCCCATAACAGCTTACTGCACTCCCTATCAAGGTTTGGGGCCTATAAATCACACCCAAAATTAATTTGTCATGTCCCTCGAGAAAGTGGCGATACAGTCAAACAAATTGTGTGAGAACCTAAAATTTACTCCAATGGATTTTTTCTCAACGGATTCTTAAAAAAAGAAAAACTGAGATTATAGTACAGTGTGTACCAGAGTCAGGCGGAGCGGTACATCAATATTGCCGCCGTAATAAACATGGCCGCCGATAATGAACTATGCACGATAGGGGAAACTAGTGACATGGTCCTCAGACAAATAGAGAAATTAAAACCTAACAAATCTGTAGACCCTGATGAATTGTTTGCAAGGGAAAATGTACAGAGGAACTTAGAAAACCTTTGGCTAATCTTTTCAACATATCACTACAAACTGGCATAGTGCCAGATAAGTGGAAAATGACAAATGTAATACCTATTTACAAGGCAGGTGACAGGTCCTTAGCTTCGAGCTATAGACCAATAAGCCTTACCTTCATAGAGGGAAAATTTATGGAAACAATATTAGCCGAGGCAATTCGTAGCCATTTTGAAAATTTGAAAGGCATATGTTGATTAATGAATCTCAACACGACTTTACAAAGGAGCGTTCCTATTTTACGAATTTACTAACTTTTTTTCACTAAGGTATTTGAGGAAGTAGATCATGGTATAGAATATGATATTGTTTATTGTTACAAAAAACGCGATATATAATAATGATAGAGATCTCCAGTGAATACTAGAAAGGACTGCCCTTCTAGCATCCAGCCTGTTACTGGGTTTTTGTTAGAAGTAGTCAGTATCCTGGTCCAATTATCCATTAGAATTTAATAGGATTCAATAGTGCTTCAGGATTACAACTGGTAGGCTACTAACTAAAGAAATTAAAATTTAATAAGTTTATTAATAAAGATAAAGTTATCTAGGTGGACAATATCAAAGTAAATCAAAGTAATCAATTTAACATAATAAAGGATACAAGTTCCTACACTTCTCTCGTGTACAGTAGTATTGTGCTGAAGGCACATATATCTTTATGGCTTTTAAGTACCGTCTGGTACATTGTTAGCATTTAAGAACATAATACTAATAAATACAAGTGAGTATGTGTGTATATGTGTAAGTGCTCTAAGTAGTTTGCTATGTCTCAAGACTCGACTAGACTTAACCAGTGACTGACTAAAAGTCCTCACATAAACTAACTTCTTGACCAACCTGGCAAACAGAACAGCTTGCTTGAAAAGTAAAATGACTGATTCGCCGAACAGCAATATAA